AAGGTCTCTGCCAGGTGAGATGCAGGGAGGCTGCAATTCTAAGTCAAGCGCGCTCCCATACTCTCCACCAAATAGCCACCCTGCCTCGGCTGCCCTAGCCTTCTGCACAGCAGCTGATTTTTAAAAAACGAACAGCTGTCATGGGGTAGCCTGAAAGATGGCTACAGAACTCATTCTGTCCACTTCAAGATGTGCTACCAAACTAGAGTTTTTCTAGAGGAGTCAGCAGGAGGGAAAAGCACTGAGTATTCAAACAATATCCAGGAAAGAAGATGTGGAGGGCTTCCCATCTGCACACAAATTCTCTTCCCAATTAGCTGCAGCTAGCTAATGCGGTGGCTTACACCTGTAATCCCAGCACTTTGGGAGGTTGAGGCAGGTGGATCAACTGAGGCCAGGGTTCAAGACCAGCCTGGCCAACATGGCAAAACCCTGTCTGTACTAAAAATACAAAAAATTAGCCAGGCATGGTGGCACACGTCTGTAATCCCAGCTACTCTGGAGGCTGAGGTGGGAGAATTGCTTGAACCCAGTAAGTGGAGGCTGCAGTGAGCCAAGATTGCACTGCTAGACTCTGCACCCCAGCTTGGGTGACAGAGCGAGACTCAAAAGAAAAAAAACCTGGCCAGGCGTGGTAGCTCATGCCTGTAATCCAAGCACTTTGGAGGCCAAGACGGGTGGATCACCTGAAGTCGGGAGTTCAAGGCCAGCCTGACCAACATGGTGAAACCCCGTCTTAAAAAGGAAAAAAAAGGGCCGGGCGCGGTGGCTCAAGCCTGTAATCCCAGCACTTTGGGAGGCCGAGGCGGGTGGATCACGAGGTCAAGAGATTGAGACCATCCTGGTCAACATGGTGAAACCCCATCTCTACTAAAAATACAAAAAATTAGCTGGGCATGGTGGCATGTGCCTGTAATCCCAGCTACTCAGGAGGCTGAGGCAGGAGAATTGTCTGAACCCAGGAGGCAGAGGTTGCGGTGAGCCGAGGTTGCGGTGAGCCGAGATCGCGCCATTGCACTCCAGCCTGGGTA